CGGGATCTGAAGGCCTTAGGAATGGACCTCAACAGATGGGAAAGCTTTACATCTGAGCGTTCAGCCTGGAGGCAGGCGGTGTATCACGGCCTCTCCCAGTTTGAAGAGACCCTTATCCAGCAGGCTGAGGCAAAGAGGCAGTCCCGAAAGCAGCAAAATCGGGGAGCTGGACATGGGACAGATTGGATGTGTCTTCAGTGTAGAAGGGATTGTCACTCTCGAATTGGCCTCCTCAGCCACACTAGACGCTGTTCCAAGACCTCCATTCAGAGGATGTTACCATCGTCTCTCGAGACTGAAGGATGCCTACAGAGCAGCATTTTATTCTATCCTACGTTAGGTGAAAATATTTGTAATTGTAAGACATATGGTTACTAAAATTGTACATTACGAATGTTCAGGAAACAAGAGGCAGTAATTTCCAAATAAGACAATTTGTTTTATTTATGTCCTACAGCTCAGACATTTTTAACTTGTAAATTGGCTCAAAGCTCACATCCCATCCTTTTTCTGTTTAAGTGTAAATGTCTCATGGAGAAGATTGAGGAACTGATTTCTTTTTGGCTGTATCTGTTGCTGACATGGTCTGTGGTCTGTCTCGAGTAAATTCTCCCCACTCCTGCAACTCAGACATTTCGTGACATATAACATCTTAACATTGGCTCAAAGGTGCAAGATTTATCATAAAACTTTTTAGGGTGATAGGATATTATGCCGCATACAAAACAACAGGGAATTTTGTGTCACTTATAATAATTTGTTATGGCACAAGCTTTAATGGACTTAATTTCTTCCAATGTATGGAGCTGTACCCAGGCTTTCCCAGGGACAAGAAATGCCTGGAATCCTCCATTACCATTTGAGTATATATTTGGCCTTATTTTTGGAGCACTGCAGAGATGGAATGGTGCATTCTTGAAGACGGCAATTAGACAACAACATCTTTGCTGGAGTGCACCAGCCTGTCCCTAGAGGGTTCCCACTTGCACCTTTCTGGCCCCTCCAAAGGGACCTGCTTTTTTGGTGCTGCTAAGATTGCTCTGGTTTAGATTGGTTTCAGTGCATCTGATTGCTGGAACTGATCCAAAGCAAGCACTCCAGATTGAATTTGTGAGTACTATCATGAGGTGCTTAATAAGTGAACCACTTCTGGATTTTGGCAAATTAATCACTTTCCCCTGCTTTTTGACTGTTTATAGGCTATTGCTGATGTTCTACATCAGTTAGAATTTTTTTTTTTTAATTTCTTTGGTTGGGAAAGGTGGTGGTTTGGTAGTGGTCAGTTTTGTGACCAGCTCTTTAAAAGAAGTTGAAGAAAAGATTTTTGGTTTTGTATTTTTATAACTGATGCAGCACATCAGCACTAATCTATCTTAAGTGAAATAGTTATATAAAGTTTTAAGAAAAGTTTTTCACTTCCTCTGCCTTCTGTCAAGCAGGGGAAATAATTAATTTGTGAATATCCCCAAGTGGCTTGCCTATTAAGCCACTCCATGATATTGGCAGGAGACATTTCTGTGTGAACAGTTGGGCTTGATTTAGACCATTCCAAAGCAGTTCACACTAGCTACTGTAGCCACATCCTATATATGGAAATCTTTACATGTGATACACAAGAAAGAGGCAGTTTGTGTACATATGTGTGTATGTGTTTATACACAAACAGTGATCATTACAGATTGGGATTTGTACAGTCTGTAGCACAGTCTGTAAACAGAGGGTTTCCTGGAACATTTCAGAATAATCAGTGCTCAACCTTATGTACAATTCTTTTACACCAGATGACCTGACATCGCTAGAGAATAGCATAACCTCTTCTCAGTTTGAAGACGGGGAATCAAAGACAAGATTGCAAGCCTTCCGCTCCATGGCCTTGATGTCTAACAGGAACTGCAGCTATTGCAGCACCAACCTCACAGTTGCTACATCGAGTCCAGAAGCTGACCCTGCAGCACATAATAACATAAGTGCCTTGAAGACTCCACCTGTGAGCCAAACTGCATCGGAGCACATTGAGGCGCATCAGACCAGACCAGGAGAGCATGACAGCCTGCGTCTCAACAGACCACCCAGTGCCAAACCTCCTCCTCCTTGGTTAGGACGATCTGTGACTCCTCAGATGAAACCAGGGTCTGCTCCGCTGCTTCTAAACAGGCCAGAAAGCATGGGATCTCCTGCCATCAGAGCAAGTGACTCCTCGTCCACTCATTCTAGTGTTCCTTCCCTCGTTACAAGGACAACTGGAGATACTGTGGCATCCACTGATGTTCATCCTTCTGCTCCCCTCATTGTGGGTAAACTGAGAAATTCCTTAGCTTCCCGCTTTCAGTTATCAGAGACCCACCATCTTCCTTTGCTACCTCCAGAGGAAACTCTTTCCCCTTCAGCCAGTCCTAATTTAGCCTCTTTGTCTTTACAAGAATATCTTGGGAGCCCATCCGATAGAACAGGTTCGCCCGCTGTGGGCCCGCAAATGGTGGCGAACAGTTCAACATTGCCCCCTGGTGGTGGGAATAACCTCAATGGCTCTGATCCTTAGGGAGGGAAAGCTAGGCTTATTTTGAACAGGAGAGTAACCACTTTAACCTCATAGGTGGGGGAGAGCCCCAGTACTAGTGGTGTGAGCTGGCCCTGCCCCAACCTATCCCTGGTGATACCCACTTTCTGTCTTCTTGGAAAGGAGGTCTTCTAAGTGTTGAGGATACAAGGCCTAGTGTGCTTGCCTGACCTATATTTTTGGCTTCAGAATAAAGCAGGATATTTTCTGTGCAATCTAAAGGCTGCAGCAGAACCCCTCTGGGATGCAGAAGAAGGTGAGCTACTCCTAATCTGTCTACTTCTGCTGCTTTTTGTGGCTCAGGTTTGCTGCCAGCAAATGAAGTATTCCCTTGTGCCCAGAGACACATAGTAAGTCTTCTAACAACAGGTCTATCTAATACAGATACCTTATTGGTGCTGCCAGACTCGTATGAAAATTTCAGGACTGATCACTTTGAAGGAGAGTGGCCAGTTCCCTTTGAAATCAAGGGTGGTGCCAATTCAGCAACGTTAAAAAAACCCATATGGTGCAGATTTGTTGGTGCATCTGAAATGGACTGTAATGCTAGAGCATTTCCACTATAGTCCTTTCTCATGTTGGTACCAGATCGATTGACATTATGGAGATTTGAAATTCAGATTTCTAGTATTCTGGAGCTAGATATACATGAACACCATAAATGTACCATTTGTGATATGCAAAAGCAAACCATGTGCTTTTTTTTAGGTTGAAGGTCAGTTTTCATTTGGAAGCCAAGAGGGTTAAAAATTAAAATTCTAAAATTAAAATTCAATGTTCTTTGTTGGGTATTTCTGGCCTTTATATAAAACCAGGATTCCCTGACAAGGAATCACAGTTGTTGATTAGGTTTGGGGCTGATGGACATGTACAGAGTGCAGTCACATTCACACAACATCTTGGAGCCACTCTATCCAGGCTTTCTGATCTCCCACAGGCCAGATTCATACAGGCTTCATTGTGTACTGGTTCTTCCACTATCTAATAGGCAGCTGGAGACCAACAAAGGCTGTGCCTGCCATTGCTGAGTTATGGCCATCAGTATACATACAGATTATTCACAGAGGAATGCTTCTAATCTTTTTCTTTGGCATTTCTTATTCTTCTGGTTTGGTGTTCATCCAGATAGCTACCATGGGGAGGTCTTCTCTTCATTACTGAAAATAAAATATCTCGGTCATAGTGATTCCCCTCTAGACTCTTTGTTAAGAAACCCAATTTCCCACAATCCTTTTGTGCATTGGTGAGTTTGCTTCATCTTTTGTGTGGATTCAGGAGACTGAATATTACATGGTAGCATTCTATGGTGCTGGATTTCTCATGGCTTTTTCAGATATGTATACGTTCACTTGACTAGAGAACATATATGTGTGAATTTACCTTAGATTGCTATGCTTTGCTGCAATGTGTCAAAATGAGCTCCCATATTTTATGTGCATATGTGTTTATTTTGCTGTAACACTTGGATTTTCCAATGCATTGAAGATTTCTTTTTGAAAAATAATATTTTTTTAGAAACCAAAGCTTATACAAATAAATTTAATGTGAATTTCCCCAAAAATGGACTTGAAAGCATCAAATGTCCAAAGTGAAGAATTATAACAATTGCTGCAATGATTAATGGCCAAAATCCTGTTTCTTAGCATAGTGCATAATTAAATTACACTATGGTCAGCTCATTGAATCAATGGGGACTTGGCAAGTCAACCCCTCTGTAAATCCTTTTGATTCAAATACGCCTATTGTAACTGTATCTTATTTTAGCATAGTAAGTCACAGTTAGAGTTACTAAATCAAGGCAGCTTGCAGGTGTGTTGAATCACCGAATCCCCATTGATCAATGGGCCTGCTCTAGTGCAATTTACTACATGAGGCAACAGAATTTTGGCCAATATATTGTGTAGGTTGAGACTGAATGTCTCTCTGGAAATTCCAAATTTTGGGCTGTGTGTGTCCCTTTGATATGTTCATAAGCTCATTTTTGAAAAGACATTCTATTTGTGCAGTAGAATAGAACTTTCAAATTTTGGTCAATATATTGTGTAGGATGAGACTGAATGTCTCTCTGGAATTTTCGAATTTTGGACTGTGTGTGTGCATTTGATATGTTCATACGCTCATTTTTGAAAAGACATTTTGTTTGTACAGTAGAATAGAACTCCCAGATGTTTGCTGGAGTAACATTTCTCAGAAACTGACAGAACTAGGTCTCCAAGAAAAATAATCAGAGTCTCTTAAAATGCCCAAATCAGTGATGTGATCCTGTTAAGATTACACATGTTTTAAGTCCATGATTTTATGGGGACTAGTTGGAAAAAAACTCATGGAATGGGTGAATGGAAGTTGTGTTTGTGTCACCTGATCTCGAGACAATGAGAACATTCAGAGAAGAATAAAGATTCAGAGAAACTAAAAGTGTGCTGCTTAGGAAAGATGAAAACGTAATAGGAGAAAGGCTTCACTTTCCCATTGGTGATCCCCAATCAGGATGCTATATATTCAATCTGTGAGGAATGAAGAACAATGTGTTTGCTTTTATATTCTTTTATTCTACTGTTATTAATATTCCAGCTCTTGAGGATGTGACATAGTGACTAAATTTAGCCCAAGGAAGTGAAGGCTGTTCTCAAGGAGTCGTTTTGCCAGGGGACGTTTTGCCAGTTCATGCAACGGAGGCCAGAGCGACCTGGTTGTTTGCTCTGTCAAAGACAACGTAGTACAGACGGATGAAGACATCTCCAAGGATCCAGAGCTCACCAGAATCAGTGGGGATACTGATGCTCTCAAAGCCACTTTGACAATAACCATTGCTCTGAAACGAGAGATAACAGTATAGAATGAATTGTGGTGTCTCTATACCAGTCAGATAACTTGAGTAGCATTATGAACATAGATGTGCTTGGACAGAACATCCAGATGCTGGCACACTATTGGTGAATCAAACCAGGGCATGTGTGAAATCTTCTGAAATGAAATGAGACACACATATGCATACTAGGCACAAATCATCTCCTCATCACACAATTTTTTCATTAAAACACTCTTTAATTATGAGTATATGTAGCATGAAGACATTCGCTCCCTCCCTCCCTCTCTCTCACAAACATAGAATATACATTAGTTTTGTATTATTACATTGATTAAAATCAAAATCACATTTGAGAATAAGGTAGTAAACTTTGATAAGATATTCCTTATTTCATAATGGTCGCAACGTACTGGTTGCAATCAGTGTTTGAGCCTTTGATAAATCTTGTTCCTAACTTGCTTCATTTTCAAAAGGATGCAACTCTTTTTCTTCACATACTACAGGAAACGTGGGGTATTGTAGAAATATTAAAGTAGGCTGGATAGGTGGGGCTCGTCAGCCATGGAAGGCAGCCAATCTAGGAGAAGGAAAACTCTGATTTCAAACCTCCACTGGCCTGTGGCTATATCCACTCATGGAAACGGCTTCAGGAGGTAACCTAGAGGCAAAATCTGGAGTTGGAGTCCCGAAGGCAGTTCGTGTCATTCTGCCAAGTCCTGCGACGTTGCTGGACCCAGTTGTATTGGCTCTTGCCTTTCCATTGGACCATGTCAGCAACATGGAGAGGAGGGATCTGCTGCTTGGGTAACAGCCTATCCTCCATATTACTTTGCCCAGGCTTCATGCTCTGGAGAGGACACTCCTCGATACAGAACACGTTACCATGGTCTCTCAAGACTGAAGGGTGCCTATGCTATGCTATCCAGCATCATCTGACATGAGAAAAAGTCTGCCACTAGGCTACAAACTATCAAACTCCTTTGTGCAATTGCATAGTTTGTTTCCTTTCTGAACTGGACTGTTTAATTTCCAGAGATTGATCTTCCACAAACATTTTTTTAAAAAAAATAATTTCAGGTGAGATGGACCAGAGGTCTTACCTGAAGAAGGTAGGCACTGGCAGGCACAGGGAATTCAATACCATTCATGGTGAAGACAATGTCTGGTAGGCTGTTCATGGCGCTGCAGCTGACGTAATACTAGTGTGAAGCAAAACAGGCAGAAGACAAGAATTTACCATATGGCATCATATTTTCAAACATAAGAGCTACGAAAAGGGTTTAGCTGCATGTTATGAACTAGGAATTACCCCAAATGGAATGACTGAAGAGAAAACTGGCTGGCTTTATTTATTCATGTATCTATTTTAATCAGATAATGTCTGAAACCAGCTATTCTTTGGCTTTTATGGTTCTTTCTTTTTGTACTGTAAAGCTTTCCACTTAAAGTTGTGAAAGCATAACACATTGTAGGCTGTGCACATTAGCCCAATCCGTCATTGTATAATCGCTTTCCGGACAACAGTCCCCAGAATCATTGGATCTCTTCTGCCTGGCAATTGGGTGACTTGTAGCCTAAAATAGGTACTTTCTCAAACTCCAGGCCCTCACAAAACAAGTGAAGACTGTATCTTTGCTACCTGGAACCTTTTGCTGCATTTTAACACAAAAGGAGAGATACCACAAAGCAGCAGAAGGATGTGTGAGTATGGAAGCAATCCCCATTTTGTTGTTTCTTTCAAGGGGTTCCCTTTGTTTTCTT